CTGGCCAGGCACCCCAGAGGGGACCCCCACCCTGATCAGGGACACCCTTCAGGGAAAACCAGCTGGCCCCCACCTGTGCACCAGGCCTCTATCCTATATAGTAAAAGGGTAATATGCAAACTGACCCTAACAGCAGAAAGACTGGGAATGACTGGTCACTATGACACACACTGACCACCAGGGGGCAGACGCTCAATGCAGGAGCTGCCCTCTGGTGGTCAGTGCGCTCCCACATGGGGGAGCTCTGCTCAGCCACAAGCCAGGCTGATGGCTGCCAGTACAGCGGTGGTGGTGGGAGCCTCTCCTGCCTCCTCAGCAGCACTAAGGATGTCTGACTGCAGCTTAGGTCGGCTCCCCGCTGGCAAGTGGACATCCCCCGGGGGCTGCCGGGCTGCCAGAGGGATGTCTGATTGCCATCTTAGGCCCAATCCCCTGGGGAGAAGGCCTAAGCCAGCAGGTGGTCATCCCCCAAGGGGTCCCAGACTGCGAGAGGTCACAGGCCGGGCTGAGGGACTCCTTGCCCCCCAGTGCACAAATTTTTGTGCACCGGGCCTCTAGTACTATATAAGTATGCATATTTATACATAAAGAAAGTAATATGTCTATAGATAATTTAATGGGAAAATAATTTGACTTACTTTAAATGCCAAAAGAAAAAGTGCCCAATCCTTTGATTAGTCAACGCTTTTTTGAGTAAAAATCTCACAAGCAGGTTATCCAAATACTGTTCATATTTTAGGACCTATGTGTTTAAAAACAAACAAACATAAAACAACTTTACATCAACCAGAGTCAAATTTTGCATGGTTGGAATTAAAGGTAATTTTTTAGAAAGAAAGTAGATACTACTGGTGACAAAACTAATTTTTTAAAAAAAGCATAAAATCAGTTAATACAGTAGAGGTTTTGGAAGTTGCATGGATTTAGAATAAAACATAATTTTTCTTTTTTACATTATTTTACCTGTACTAGCTGAATTAGATACTGAGAAAGTTTGTCATCTGTTAAATATTTTTCTAAGCATCGAACAGCAAAACTTCGAACCATAGGGTCTGGGTAGTTGCAGTCCAGAAGCTCCATAGCTTGTTCGGGTTTGATTGGAGGCCAGTCTTTTACCAAGCAGTACATCTGTGCATGAGAAAGACCACAAATCAAATTTTTAAAGCAAAGACAGTTGTGAATGAACCCTTCATTTTAAAATTAGTTTAGATAAAAGTCCCCTTATAAATTCAATGCTTAAAATGTTCAGTCCTAATTAATTAATTTTATCAGTGGAAGCAGTCTGAATGGTATTTTTCTCTACTATATTACCATTATTAATTAACTTAAAACAGTCTATTTCACCTCATAGTTATGCAGACTTTGTGAGAGAAAACAATCCGAGCAACAGTTATTCAGGAATCTCAAACATGCATTTACCTGAGCTACTTCATCTCTAGAATTCCATTTAACAGACAGAAGCAATTTGGGTAGAATTTCAGGGATAGTTACACAATAGTGTCTGTGTGGAAAAGATAAAACAAAATAAAAAAGATTCTTCATGTTATTCATAAGGCCTAGATGTCTAAATTTCCAACTATGCAATCTTTAAGAAGTTCCAAACACTTAACATTTTATCATTACTAGCCTTCCTTAAAATCAAAAGAAATCAGTGTTTTAACATTTTGTTGCATATATATATGTACATAGATACTTAGATACAGTTATAATGGCAAGAGAGGCAAAAGAAAAATCCAAATGGAAGGCAGGTACTTAGGAAAAATTGTGAATTTATTTTCTAACACTCTTTATGTAGCTCCTTTTATTCACCTACTTAAGCAACTTGGACCATGAGAAGAGTCACCACTTCTACTGTGGTCACGGGAAATAATTTATGTTTTAAGGAACTTCTGCAGAAATGCACTGCAATTGCTTTCTTTAAATAAAACAGTGTCACCAAGTAGTACGATAACTTCTTCATAAGTAAAAATAAGGCATTACACTATTACTTTGAGGAAGTGTAAGAAAAAAAGGAAAATGAAGGGAACTCCTAAAAATGGAAATATCCAGTGGTCGGCAAACTGCGGCTCCCGAGCCACATGCGGCTCTTTGGCCCCTTGAGTGTAGCTCTTCCACAAAATACCGACTTCTGCGCATGGGCCACGAAGTTTCAATCGCACTGTACATGCGCGCCCACACGTGGTATTTTCGCGAGCTGCAGTTTGCCGACCACTGATAGACCAACTAAATTGATCTAAAACAACAGGATATTTTTTTGGGATCTTGAATTTTATTAAAAAGCAAAAATAAAAACCAAATCCTAAAAAAGGTGTTATCAACTTAGAATTTTTAAAAAAGCATTCAATGTCCAAAGTTAATACCAATGCAGCATGATTCTCTCTAGAAATATTGCTCTATATCTACAACTTTAAAAAGGATGTTTGTGTAAAAAGTCATGTGTATTATGCTTTATTTACTTTAATAGGTATGGTAGAAAAAAAAGGCAAGATCAGCCAAAGCCAATTCTTTATTTTCTTCTGAACATAAGAAACGGAGACTCTTCATCTTAACACTTACCTGTGGCTCCAAAGAAAATCTTTCTCCTGCTCAGTGATTTCAGAGAGAGGATCTCGGGTACAAATTGCTCGGAGCTGTTCTTTATCATTTTCCCTTAATTCGTTGTCTCTAGCTAGTCTGTTACTCTGTAAAATAAAGTAATATCTTATATGATTTTCTCTGCTATATTTTTCATGAGTGATCCACATAAAAAAAGAAAGAAAACTGTCAGTACACTTTATATTGCTTATTAACTGCTGTGAAACAGTTTACTATTCCAATGATAAGACTTTATTTTCAGGAATAGGGAAGAATCAGCTCAAGACAGTATTTGTGGAACAAATCCAGTAACTTTTTTTTCTTCTTCCAGTAACTTATTTGGTTAACATTACCACCAACCACAGAACAGTAACTGCTAAAGTTAGTCAGGGGTAAGAAACTGGATACTAGGCGTTAGTAGTGAATAAGTTATAATGTTTCTGGAATAAGAGAATATGAAATAGTAATATAATAAAATTAAAATGTGAATTCTTTCATAATGGTTGCTTGAATACATCCTAATAGTCACTTTTAGGCTTTCAAATTTAAAAAGTAAAAATAAATAAGGGAAAAAAGTAGAAGCAATATCCCCATTAAAACCATGCACACTGCGTGTTTGGAAACCAAAAACACCACAACTTTTGGTACAATTCCAAGTAATGTATTTTTTTCTTTAAATGTAGATATATTAACTATGTAATAAATAATTATGAATTCACATTAATGTATTTTAAAAAAACAATTATATATCCTTTAGAAAGGGTTACACATATTCCTAATGGCTAAAAATGAAAGTAAACATCCATGCTACTAGGTTTTTATACATTTAAACATTGTTAATTTATATAACAGCATCAACAAATCTTACTAGCACATATTTACTCAACAAATATTTATTAAAGCATGGACTGTGTGCCTTGTCTTGTTCTTACTGTTTGGGGTCATAAAATTATAAAAGAACCTGTATTATTAACAGGGCCATTGCTACAGTGGAAAATTAAATGAACAAATAAGAAAAATATTGGAAAGTTGATTTAAATACTCTGGGTGATGTAACAGAGAATGACTAACTACTTTAGACTGGGTGCTCAGAAATAGCCTCTGAGAAGGCATGAAAAGGTAATATTTAATTGTAATCCAAGTGACAAGAAAGAACCATCCACACTAAGATCAGGAAAAGACTATTGCAGATGGAGGAACAAGGAAAGTGCCACAGGGGAAGAATGAGCTTGGTGTGAAGGAGGCACAGGAAGAAGGCCAGTGAACCTGAAGCCCAGTAGGTGAGCGAGAGGAGTGAGAAATTTGCAGGTCAGGGTAAAAGGTTTGGATTTTATTTTCAGTGGAAGTTAGTTAAACAATGAATATCATGATTTGATTTATGTTTAATAAAGATCATTCTGGGTCCTCTGCAGGGGGAGGGAGACCAGTCAGGAGGCTACTGGAATAATAGTTTGGGTAAGAGATAAAAAATGCTTCACCCTCAATTCACCAGGAAAAGTAGTCATTACCACTTACCATCTGGGTCCATGGACTTTTAATTCTTTTGCATTATTTACTTATTTTTATTTGCTTATATTTTTAATATAGGATAACTTAGAGAAGAATAAGTGATGGTGAAAAACAATTATATGACAACTGGATAATAATTTAAACATAATAAAACCAAGGTTATTATCCAAAATAAGCAACATCCTTTGAATGCAACTAACTGCTTGCTTATCAACTGTCATGCATGAGCCTGGACATATTCATCTTATAAATACTAAGTCCAGATTTTAAATACATATCTAGTAAGTTCTAGCTTATCATTACTACTGGTTCTTCTCGTACTCACATGTCAAAATGCAGCATTTTTGAAAACCTTGATGCCTCATAATTTTGTTAGAGAGAATGGCCATCTTCTTTGCTTCATATTTGTAAAACATTTCTATTTTTACACTTACAGATACCAATCAGAATAATGGATCCAAGGAATTTTTAAATTTCTACATCACCTTTTTCTTTCCAGTTACAGGTATAACTAATTGGATAGGGATATGGACATGTCATGAGAATGCTTATCAGTATTTCAACCCTAACTTAAAATTTAAGGAATTCCTCCTCATTTATAACAGAACTAGAGGCCCGATGCAGGAATTTGTGCACAGGTGGGGTCTGGCCCACCCGCCCCAATTGGGGCGATCATTAGATAAGTTATTTAGACTTCTTATGCCTGTTTCTTTACTGGTGAAATAAGGGTTATTATAGTACCTACTTCACAAAGATTGCTTTTAAGATGAAATGAGATAATATGTGAAAAGTGATTGGTATGGCATTGGGTACACAGTAAGCACTCGATAAATATTAACAATTATCATCAAGGAATTATTTTTCTAATTTATTGATTTAATGAGAGGAAGGAAGAGAGGAAGACAGGTGGGGTGGGAGGGGGGAGAGAGAGAGCAAGAGAAAGAAAGAAACAGCGATTTGTTGTTCCACTTATTTAAGCATTCATTGGTTGCTTCTTGCAGGTGCCCTGACTGGGAATCAAACCTGCAAATTTGGCTTGTCAGGACGATGCTTTAACTAACTGAGCTACCTGGTCAGGGCAGTTATCATAAAGGAATTAAACTTATAGAATAGTGGCTACATATTTCAAGAAAGAGAATCTCTTTTTAATGTCAAAAAGTTAATTTTAATTGTACTTTTAGTATCTGACAAAATTCAGTAATGATTTTAAATTTATTTGTACTTAAAATAGCCTTTCTATATCTTTGAAAGCGCATAGGCAGGAAGGGTAAAGGTTATTATTCTTCTTCTTCAGTTTACAAAAGGGATTGGTAAACTCCCTATTGAAAGTTCCTAAATGTGGGATTGCTGGCTGCCCCTGGGTGCTGCTGTTATTGCACCAGGAATATGTAAAATATGATAGGCATATTTCAGGACCTCTTGGTCCATATTCGATTGGTTAGTCTATCTATGACCTATAACTAGGTCAAAACAAAAGTGATAAATTTGAAAATTAGAAAAAAAAGTTAACAAAGAACAAAAACATCTTCTCTTAGCACTGACACCTTTGTCCTTGAGAAATAAGGAAGAGTTAGAGTTAATGGTTCCTACACCATTATTTTGTAGTTCCAAATTTATGGCCAAGATCAGACAACTAGATCAATATTTAAATCCTATTTTATATATATGCTTTTCTAGGGGATTGAGCTATGGTGGTGAAGCAATGTCCTCTGCTTCCATGCTCACCTCACAATATATTTATACTTTGGCTCAACTTCAAGGTTACTATTTCAAAAAAGTCTTCTCTGAACCCAATATTAGCTTTTGTCTCCTATCCCTCTGTTAGTCATTCTTGGCACACTATTGCTTTTTCCTTCTTGGCACTTATCATAATCTATAATCTTATATTTTTGCTTTTACCTGCTTAATATCTATTTTCATCATTAGACTACATACTCAGTGGAGGTCTCTTTAGGTTACAACGTTATTGCCTGGTACATGTCATACATTAATGGCATTCAATAAATATTTGTTAAATGAAGGCAGACTAGAGCTCTGAAAAGTAAGGAGAGGTAGGGCTGCAGTAAAAATATTAGCATATAGAGAATTTCATTATATTGCAATACTGTCCAAGCACCTATAGTAGCTATGCCAGTGTAACTAAAACATATGAAACCCCTTCTGTATAAAGAGTATGTACCCAAATCCACTGATTATGGCTGATACTTAAGAAAACTTAGTGATTTGTCTTACCAGTCCTGCATGGGAATAACTAAATCCTGCTTCTCGGGACACAGACCAGTTGGCATGCTCTTCAATCACTGACATATCTGGAAACTTTACCACACTGCTGCTGAACCAGTCAAACTCCATCTCTAAGCATGGGGTTTCCTAAGAAATAGAATAAAAGTTATTACATAAATATTGTGTTTGACTGTCATAAAAAAAGAAAAAAATTCTAATTTATAATAAGAAAAAGCTTACTTTATTTGGATTTGACCCAGTAACACCAATAGGATTCAGCAAATCTTCTAATCCATGAGGTACTGGCCAAAGATTCAAAGCCATTTTTCCAGATACTAGAGTATCTGTGTAATCAAACAAGTTTATATTTCCCCACGCCAATGGACAGTGTTCCTTAAAACACACAAACAAACAAACCGAAAAATATTCACTACTCTTTGGGTTAAATTATTAAACCTGTTTCAAAACACTTTTCTTCCGCAGAAAGGAGAATTCAACAACTATCTCCATAACAATGTCTACAACAAACTATATTAACTTTTACAAAGTATAAATATCTCGCTTTCCTTTTTCCCATTTGAAATAACATGTATTTTCTCTAATTATTATTATTATTCTTAGAAAATATAAACCAAAGCAAGCAAGACAGATATTTGCATGTAGTCACTTAACAGATATTTGTGTGTAGTCACTTGGCATATTCGAAAATTGTATCGGTATGACCAGGACAAACTCACTATTTATAAATAAATTCTAAAAACTTTCACAAGATATTTTTCTATGATACATTTATTAATTTAAAATTTTTAAATTATTTATTTTAGATAAAGAAAAATAATATCCATTTCTTGATAAAAATTCAATATGCAGTAATATTTGGAGTTTCTAAAGGTGAATATAATTTACCTCTTTAGCACCTTTTCGACCTTTAACAGAACAAATGGAAAGGCAAAGCCGAGCAGCACGAGGAAGATCAGGAATGTATATGTCATAATTCAGCCATTCATTCCACCTATGTAAAATTAAAAAAAAAAGAATTTATTCCCCCCAAAAAGCGTTTATCCAGAGCATATGAATGACTCCTACAAATCATAAAGAAAAAAATAAAGTGGAAAACAGGCCAGAGATTGAATGGAACAGACATTTATCCAAATGGCCAATAAACATGAAAAAGTAGTCCATATCATTTGTCATCCAAAAAATGCAAAATAAAATGTCATGGAACTATCACTATACAAGAGATTAGCTAAAACTATAAGGATTAATGATACCAAGGAGTGGTTACAAAATGTGTAGTTTCAGGAAATCTCATATTCTGCTAGTGGAGGTGTAATTTATACAACCAATTTGGAAAGCATAATGTACTAAAACTGACCTATGACATCTCCACCTCAAGGTATAAAATCAAAGAAATGCGTGCATTTGTGCCTAGAATGTTAACAGAATTATTTACAATATTCCCAAACTGCAAACAATCTTAATGTCTAATAAACTAGATAAATTGCAGTATATTCACATAATGGAGTACACAGTAATGGAAACGAACACCAGCTATTTACATCATGGATGAAATCTTAAAAACATAATATTAAGTGAAAAAAGACACAAAAGAATATCTACTCCTTGAGTCCATTTACATAAAATTCAAAAAGCCCAAACTAAACAATAATTTTAGAAGGATAGTAGCTACCTTTAGAGAGGAGAGAAGACTAATGGTCTGGGAGAGGAGATGAGGAGGGAGAGACTTTTAGAATACTGTTAAATGTTCTATTTCTTGACCAGTGTAGTTCTTATATAAATATTCATTTTGTGATAACTCACTAAACTCTGCAATGTATACTTTTGTCCATTTATGCAATATACTTTCACACACACCCCCAAATTAGCTTATAAAGAGGCAAATAAAAAAGGGAAACTAAGTAAAATGAAATTTCCTATTATGATTACAATGATATTTAATTACTTTTATAGATGATGCAGTTTTATTCATTTAAATAAGTCAGTATTAATAAAATGAAGGATATGTTAACAGAAAGTATTTGAATTTTAGAACTATTTCACAAATAAAACTTGACATTCATAATAAGAATAAAAAGTTACTATAAAAAGTGATAATTTTTTTCTCAAATTTTAATAATAAATTCCCTTCAATTTATTGGATGTTACATGTGAAATAATGTCTATATTTTATTTGGTGGACATATCTGTAAAGAGCCAAGCAAAATACATAGTTGTTATTTCTTTAAAAAAGATTATAGTAATGGTTAAGAGTATGAACTCAGAAGTCACACTACCTAGAGTAGAATCTTGTTTTTACTATTTTATTACATGTGCAACCCTCACTTTGTCTGTTTTCTTGTCATGGAAATGTGACTAATAATATTGTCTACTCTCATAAAGTTGTTGTGAAGATTAAATGAGATAACAAAAGTAAATAAATTAGAAGAGTAATTGGTCCAAGGTAAAAGCTCAAGTGCTAGATAATGATTTTGAAAACTTTTTAAATGGCTTCTTCAAAATTCTATTCTGTTTTTGGTCACAAATAAAACAAGACTTAATTAACAACAAAATGGTATAAAATTTTTAATTAGCCAAACTAAGATATAAAACTTTATTAGTAAAATAAGTTCTGTGTATTCTTTGCTTGATTATGGATGAAGATTAAAAAAATATGATCCACTTATATAGAGTAGGTATGTTTAAAATGGGGGAACTTAACAAGAAGGAATTCTAAAGGACAAAGAAACAATGCTTATGGAGAGAAGAAATATTGTGGAATTTGATAAGTTCACAGTAAATGTACCCGGGGTTTTTTATTTATTACTTCTCAATCTCTAGACTTGCTCAGAGTTAATGGGAAATAGTCTATATACTTTCTAAGAAAGCTATATCCTATGAATGTTGTTGTTTATAATACTATGCAAATAAAGCATGTTTCTTCTCAAGTCCACACACAGAGAACAATTAAGTTCTTTCTTATTAGGCAATAGTTTTATATATATACAGTCCAAATTGATTCTGATTTGGGGAGAGAACGTAACATTTATGAAGAAATCATATGGTAATTTATCTAGTATATGGGAAGTACAGTATTTGGAACAATCAATCTCAGAAGAAATTTTTAATATCTACTTTTCATTCTAGTAACTTCATTTTTTTATCTCTAATTTTTTTTGTAAATACAAAAAAGTTTACAAATTTACTAAAATATTCATACTACTACCATAGGGATTTTATCTTTTAGACTAGAGAATTCTTAAAGAAAAGATAACCAAATATAAATATTTTTCAAATAACTTCTTTAGTTCACTAAAATTTTGACATTATAATCTTAGATTGTTAAATACATTTACCTTTTACTTTTATAAAGCTAGTTTATTTTTTGGTTTTGAAACAACTAGAATAAATGTACCCAATATTATTTTGGGGTTTTTGCTTGTGGCTTGTTGAACTCCTCAGATTGTTGGTTTTACAGTTTTTATCAAATTTGGAAAATTCTTGGCCATTCTTTACTCAAATATTGTTTTGCTGTTCCTTTCACAACCAAATCACTCAACCTCTGACAGTTATGCAGTATGACTGGGAAATAAATTTTGTTGTTCTAATAAAAATTGTAAAAGATCTTGGGGTTGTTTGTTGTCACAGCATAAGTTCTAACATGAATGACGTACTTTCTGACCTAATGGTTCCGGTAGGGTGAGGAACTATTTCCCTTTCTCCAGGCAGAAAAAATTACCATCTCTTTGAACTTGATCCAAACTCTAGAATGGTGGTCACCTCTAGCAACTTAATTACAAGATCAAAATTTTTTCTTGATTCTCCTAGAATCAAGTGTAAATGATAATGGAGATAAGAAAAGAATAAAATGCTAGGTTTATGAATCATCAGTACCAAACTGTAACCATATTTTGTTCTCTCCTTGATACAATGCAAAGAGAGAATCAGAAAAACCCTACAGATAAAATTTTACAGAAAATCAATAAAGTGATCCTGTGATTTGAAAGTCCTTACGTTCTATATGTAAATGTGTGGCAATTTCCTTGACTTGTATAAAGCCAATGATGGAAATTGTATTACTTTTATTTATTACATTGCTAAACACTAATATGACTTATGAAGATAGAAATCCATATACTTCCTTACCTAGGATTGGAACAAGGTACTCTTTGAGTGTTCACATTATCACATAAGGGTTCTCCTCCATGGTAGATACCTGTTCGAACATAGATCTAAAATAAAAATAAAAATGTATGTGTATACAAATATATACAAACATACATATGTAATACAAACACACATGTACACATAAGGGGACAAAAGTAGGTTTACATTTGTTTTTACGGAAAATACTACAATAATTAGTAAATAATAACACAAGAATAACTGTTTCCCTCTGGCCAGGTAGCTCAGTTAGCAGAGTGTTGCCCCGATATGCCAAGGTTATGGGTTCCTTTAGAAGTTTCTGTTCAGATGTAGCTTTTCAGTTCTCCTTTTCTCACATATATAAGAAATTAATATTAATGCAGGCTCTTCACTAAAATTTGTTGCTGTTTCAGGGGAACATCAGACTAATAAAAATCAATATAGGCCCACCTTTAGGACAGGTATGGAATTCAGAGTTCTTCATATTTTAGAAAGATAAATTGGTACATATACTAAACATTATTCAATACTATTTGAAGTTAGAACACCCATAAATATATTAATATTTCTGCAACAAAACACATGAATATTTATAGTAGTGGGATAAATAAAGATACAAAAAAACCTTGCTTCAAGTTGGGCCAGGTTTTGATGCCAAATATATTCTGTAAAACTTTTGGTTTTAAGAGCTTAGAATTGTGAACATTAGAACCATTAGGATATTAGAATTAGGGATATTAGAATGACAAAGGACCATAAGCTGTGTAATAGCAGAGGTAGATGGGTGGTTTGCTAGCCACCTGAAAACATATTGCAGCTCAATAGATCATTAGTTCAATAAAAAAGTTTATATAAAGTCCTATATAATAAAGAGGTAATATGCAAATTGTCCATCACTCCAACACACAAGATGGCCACCCCCATGTGGTCAAAGATGGCCACCACAAGATGGCCAGCAGGGGAGGGCAGTTGGGAGGGACCAGGCCTACAAGGCAAGGCAGTTGGGGGCGATCAGGCTGGCAGGGGAGGGCAGTTGTGGGGGACCAGGCCTATAGGGGAGGGCAGTTGGGGCTATCAGGGAAGCAGGGGAGAGCAGTTGGGAGGGACAAGGCCTGCAGGGGAGGGCTGTTGGGAGGGACCAGGCCTGCAGGGGAGGAAAGTTGGGGGGACCCAGGCTGGCAGGGGAGGGCAGTTAAGGGTGACTGGGCCTGCAGGGGAGGGCAGTTGGGGGCAACCAGGCCTGCAGGGGAGGGCAGTTAGGGGCGACCAGGCCGGCAGAGGAGGGCAGTTAGGGGCAATCGGGCCTGCAGGGGAGCAGTTAGGTGTTGATCAGGCTGGCAGGGGAATGGTTAGGGGGTGATCAGGCTGGCAGACAGAAGCGGTTAGGGGCAATCAGGCAGGCAGGCAGGCAGACAAGCGGTTGGGAGCCAGCAGTCCCGGGTTGTGAGAGGGATGTCCCAGATTGGAGAGGGTGAAGGCTAGCTGAGGGACACACACACACACACACACACACACACACACACACACATGCGCAAATTTTGTGCACTGGGTCTCTAGTAATTTATATAAAATAATAAGCAACAACACGACTTTACCTTGTCAATGTCTCGAATATTTACATTTACATAGGTTGCACAAAGAATTTTTATTCTGAGTGCACTATTTATACCCCAAAGGGATTTTGTAGAGGTTTCTCCATTCATATATGGTGTAGCTGTGGAGATGCGTCTGGAATAAGATGGCATTGTAAAACAGTCCATTGGCAGCTGCGAGTAAAGGCTTTCCTTAGCCATCAGCATCAAATTGGGCATCCTCCCAAGCATTATACAGCTTCTTATATACTGTAAAAGATTAAGGGAGATGGGGAGAAGCCATTTTTTAAATAAGGTTTTTCATTTTAAAAGCACCATGTAAGAGTATTATGAGAGAATTTACATACTAATCTGCAAAGGTGATAATGAAATCAAACATTATAGACCACATTTCTTAGCAGTTGCTACACTTAACATTTAAAATACATATCTGGGAGTTAGGTTATAGCACAAGATCAACCAAGCACCTATTGGAATATAAACTGTATAAAAGAAAAAAAAAAAGAGGTCAGTTTTTGACACTTTAGTTCTACCCTTAACTGTAAGAAAAAAAAATTACAAACAAGGATCAGAGGATACTCATTATGAAAACACTGCACTTGTTAAAGGAAAAGCAACATTGTTTAGTAAATTTCTATCATTCTATATATTGTCATATTGAGGCCCAATCCAAGGGTTACTGCCCCCTTGCTCTTTTGTTGCAATATTTCTTGAGAAACATTTGTTTTGCTAAAAAGTAAAACAAAACAAAAATAAGAGGAGACTGATAAAAATATAGGATGTATTTAAAAATATATTAAAATACATTGTTTGATCTATGAAGTGGTAGTTAGGATAGAAATTTCAAATAGAAATGCTACTGCCCTAGCTGGTTTGGCTCAGTGGGTACAGCGTCAGCCTGCGGACCAAAAGGTCCTAGGTTCGATTCTAGTCAAGGGCACATGCCTGGGTTGCGGGCTCGATCCCCAGTAGGGGGCGTGCAGGAGGCAGCCAATCAGTGATTCTCTCTCATCATTGATGTTTCTATCTCTCTCTCCCTTCCTCTTTGAAATCAATAAAAAATATATTTAAAAAAAAGACATGATACTTCCAATTTGCTAAAAAAAAAAGTGCTACTATGTACATATTACAATAGCCTATTTTTTTACCCATAAATCCACTAGACTGTAAGCAACCTGAAGGCCAGAACCATGTCTTGGTATTGTAAATCAGTACTTAGCATACACTTGGTACAAATATAGTTGCTTCTTATATGTATTTATTAAATGAACAGAATAGAGAGTAGGGTAATATTAATAGTATATCTTAACAGTAAGTCATAGATTTTTTTGAAATGTTTAATTACTGCTAGTGCCATTGCTTGGAAGGAGATAAAATACGCCATATTTTGGGGTTAGTGTAACTGAAAATGTTTTTATGATTGTCTTTTTTTGACAAGGGGACATTTATGTAATTGCTTTCTTGCATATTCAAATGAATACAATAAACCCCTTAAAAAAAAAAAAAGGCAGCCCTAACCGGTTTGGCTCAGTGGATAGAGCGTTGGCCTTCGGACTCAAGGGTCCCAGGTTCGATTCCGGTCAAGGGCATGTACCTTGGTTGAAGGCACATCCCCAGTAGGGGGTGTGCAGGAGGCAGCTGATCGATGTTTCTCTCTCATTGATGTTTCTAACTCTCTATCCCTCTCTGTAAAAAATCAATAAAATATGTATTTTTTAAAAAAGGCACATGAAAAGCCTTCTGTGCAAGTTTCGTGGTATTTAAAATTCTTATTGGCTAATAAAAGTATTTCCACTATAGAACTGGAGCTGTCTAGAAAAGCATATGATGCATTTTTTTGTATGCAGAATACCTGAAACATTGTACTTACCTTATAGCACAATTAAACAGTCACCAAATCAAATGTTTGTATCTGAATAATGATATAACTATTGTTACAACTGCAAAACCATTAATCAGCTTACCCACATATATAGTCAGATCCCCAAATATTATTACATAAAATTTAAAGAAATAGCATGTTTTTTTCAAATTAAGTTCATCATCAATCTCTCTAATTAAATAATTATTGCATAAAAATAAACTTGTGATTACTTAATAATATTAATTTCTCAAAATGTATGTTCTAAAAATGCAGACAATAGTCCCCAATGTGATTACTTTTTAAATTTAAAATTGATATTTTTGAAACTTGTTACTCACCTTATATTGACTCAGAGGATATTTTTCTAGGAAGTATTCATCACATCCACACACTTTTAAAATATATTTGCCCTGATATTCTAGAACACAAAGTTTTAGTTGTTCAGATGATAGCAACATACTTCGAGTTTTTTTCCTGATTGCTTCAGCAATTACTTGTTCTGGCACATAATCATGGTTGATTTTCAGAGTATACTTCTGCTTGTCATTATTTGGAGAAACTATTACCCAAATCACCACTATTATTTGCCCTATAAGAGGAAGACATTATTAGATGTAATCACCATATATACTTCATTTTTCAAGAGACAAATTTCAAAAAGCATGCACTACCATTCTTTTAACCATAATCATTAATGACTTATAATCTAACTAATTAAATGCAGGTAAATCTTCAGATCTAATAGAGCTGCCAGGCTATGTCCAAATCTCATGTTTTATGGCAAGCATGCAAAACTGACTGGTGGGTCACAAGTACCTGAGTCCAATATAATTCCATTTTAAACTGCATGGCATACTTCATGGATACAACCTCTGTGAAGAGTGACTCATGATGGTATACAAAAGGTTCAGAAGTGGAAGAGTTTTTGGTAACTATGGGAAAGAATCATGGAGACTTAAAGAAAGATGATAAATCGGAATGAGAGAAAAGATGGGGGAGGAGGGAAAATAAGATGCATTTTCTTAATTTGTTTTCTTTTAAGATCAATTAAGCCAGGGGATTAAAAAAAAAGATGATAAACTAGAAAGATTAAAACTGTCAGAGGCCGCCCGACGCCCGCTCGGCTCTGGTGCAGAGAAACCGCCAGGCAGAGCAGCAGGCCAACCGGCCACCTCCGCCCAACTCTGTCATCCACCTGCCTTTCATCATTGTGAACACCAGCAAGAAGACCGTCATCGACTGCAGCATTTCTAATGACAAGTAGGTAGAAGGTTGTCTGTTGGCCCCATGGTCTCAGCTGGGAGTCTCAGGTCAGAAGTGAAGAATGCCACAGTCATTGGTGTTAACTGCTGGTCAATTTATTTATATAAGTATCTGTAATTTTTAAATATAATCTTTTTAGCATAATTAATTTAGAAATTTGCTTCTCTTTTCCCTGATTAGGTATCTCTCTCTCTCATTTTTAAATATATATTTTTTATTGATTTCAGAGAGGAAGGGAGAGGGAGAGAGAGATAGAAACCTCAATGATGAGAGAGAATAATTGATTGCTGCCTCCTGTATGCCCCTGCTGGACATGTGCCCTGACCAAAAATACGACTGTGATCTCCTGGTTCATAGGTCGACGCTCAACCACTGAGCCACCATGGCTGGGCAGGCATCTCTCTTTTAGAAGGAAAGTAAATCGCACCTGTTAGGATCGTTGTTAGGACAGCTGCTCAGACATAGCACAACCAGTAGAGGGTGCTCACTGCTGGTCCTGTGGGGCAGGCAGGCAGAGCTGAGGGTAGACCAGCCTGCCGGGATGTGCCCGCAGAGTGTGGACGGTGGTTAGCAATGCTGCCTGAGTCTCTCGGGTCATTGTTTCTGAGTTGATGGATTTTGTGAAGACGCCAGATGGAAGGGCACCTGAGGAATGGTCAGAGCCCCTGAACCAAGCATGGCCGTCTCCGTCTTGCAGTTGGCACTTTTCTAACAGGGACTTTCTCCTCCAGATTCGAGTATCTATTCAATTTTGACAACACGTTTGAAATCCATGACGACATAGAAGTGCTGAAGCGCATGGGGATGGCCTATGGACTGGAGTCCGGAAGCTGCTCTGCTGAAGACCTGAAAATGGCAAGAAGCTTGGTGCCGAAAGCACTGGAACCCTACGTGACAGAAATGGCTCAGGGATCACTCGGCAGCGTATTCCTCACGTCAGCGGTTTCGACCTCTAACGGCACAAGGCTTTCTGCCAGTGACTTGACCAACGGTGCGGACGGGATGCTGGCCACGAGCTCCAGCGGGTCTCAGTACAGCGGGTCCAGGGTGGAGACTCCCGTGTCCTACGTCGGGGAGGATGACGACGAGGACGAGGAGTACGAAAACGACGAGGAAGACTGAAGTGTTTGCTCACAGGCCCCGCTCCCCTCAAGTTCAGCTTCAGGAAAACACGTTTAGGAAAGAGAAACTTTTCTTAATGTGGGCTTTCCTGTTTCTTTTTGGCTTCCTCCCAAGAAGATATTGGTAAGCTATTGCATTTGACGTGCACCTCTGATAAGCAAGCGAGGGCTGTTTTCTGCAGGGTCTCAGACGGGCTGCGGTGTGTGGATTCTAGTCGCTGGCGCAGGGCTTTTACTTGGTAGGATTTTGTGTTTTCATTTTTCTATTTTTTTAAAATTCAGAGTTCCTTTTTGCCCCTTAACAATTCTTGCTGAGTTTGCTGAAGAAGTTGTGCTCCATCTACATCAACGAAAATGCCGTCCTCCTGTCGAGGCACCCCGAAGGCCACTTATTTGCAGCGCGTTGTGAATGGCGCCACCCCATGGCTGCGTGTGAGGCTCCAGGCCGAGTTCCCATTTGTGAAAGTCTGGAGCATCCGCAGAACCAAGCCAGTGGCAGAGCTGCTTTTCAATATTGAGCACCACAAAGCCTATTATGACGTATTTCCCCTTAAATTACATTGACTGTGTGATTCCATATACTTTTCCTTTCTCTCTTTCCTTTCTTTTTTTTTTTTCTATGGTGCAGCGAACATTCAAAGTTGTGCATTTGTGTTTGTGTGTTTGGTTTGGTAGTTGACTGCCGTGCTGGTGCAGCTGTGAACACTCTGGAAGGCTTGGGATGGTTTTTGCTTATGGTAAAATTTGCCTGATTTCTTACAGGCAGCGTTTGGAAACTTTTTATTATATAGCTGTTTACATACTTATAAGTCTATCATTTAAAGACATGTACTGAAACAAATGTTGTATTTGTTTCATGAGCATCTTCCTGTAATCTATTATAAAGTTGAAATTAAATATAGAGAATTTTTTAACAGTTTTTTAACTCAAAATTTGTCAATCATTTTTAATAGTTCTTTTTTTATAAAAAGGAAAAGGAATTTCAGGACAGGCAGTAGCTTCTTTTAAAATTTATCCACGAAGAACCATTAACTGCACAGTTGCTGTTAGCTGCCTGTTCTAAAACAATAGTCTTTTTATTGAAACACAAATAAACTTTTCTGTAATATTTAAAAAAAAAACTGTCAGAATGGGCTGGGTATTCACAGTACAATTTTTCCAACTATCTTATATGTTGGAAATTTTTCATAAAGATTGGGTAAAAATAAAAGAGTGTTTGTACCATTTTAAAAAGTATGCTAGAGTAGAAAAGAATTTCAAATAAATAAAATGTTATGTTATATTTCATTAAACTACTTTGAATAATATGGGTAGAATAGTAACTTATTTTACTAACAGAACTTTATATTTATTAGTGTGTGCGAGTTAACCTACTCTATAACTTCAAATTAAAAACTTCACTTTGGCCTGGACAGTGTGACTCAGTTGGTTGGAACGCTGTCCCATGCACCAAAAGATTGGGGTTCAATTCCCGGTCAGGGCACATACCGAGATTGCAGGTTCCATCCCAGGTCAGGGCGTGTACCGGAGGCAGCTGTCAGATGTTCCCCCCCAACCCCCCTCCCCTCTCCAAAATCAATAAGCTTGTTTCACAGGTGAGGATTAAAAACAAAAATAAACAAACAAACTTCACTTTGTTATCTTGAAAAATACAGATATTTATCTGATATATTTTCATTTCAAAAAAATATATAGTTGATATTTTTTCTTGTTTATTTAAATCTAGAAACCAATATATTAAAATGTCAAAAGTCAATCTCATTATGATCAGATTTAGTATATCTAACATTAAGAGTAAGAATTTTTTTTGAATATATGATACATATCAAGACGATGTAGTTTTCCTAAAATTTCATAAAATGTGTGTCTATTTATACTTGTTTTTACATGTGAAATGATAATCAGCTGTAAATCTACAGCAAGGAATGTCAAACTCAAAGTTCTTTAGTTTTATTCTGAATAAACAATTCACCAAGGGCTCAGCGCCATATGCACACAATTCATTCAATTAATAAGTATTTATTTGTACACAAGTTGTATACTTGGCACTCAACTATATCTTGTCAATATAAGCAGTATCTGACTTCAAGAAGCTTATCACCTAATTGAGATAAAAAATACTTTAAAAATAGAGACATGATAGAAGTTCTCACTATAGTAACCAATTATGGTAGACTGCAAATTTTCTTACCTTTATCTAATTTATTATATATGTGTTTTGGCAATTCTGGTGAAGATTCTACATTTGGAGGATAAACATACATTGCTCTACTGTGAGGTGAATTAAGATCCCTAAGATCCACAGCTTCTTTACAAACATTCAGAATATTTCTTCGGAAGTCCTGTACTTCTGGATCTTTAACCATGTCAAATTCACACACTGGCATGCCGATAGCAAAGCCTTAAAAAATTATAGAAAGAAGATAATATTCTATTAAATACACAGTATAAACATGTTTCTTATAAATAGAAAACTTGATAGATTTGGAAGATCACAATAGAATAAAGAAGTTTCTCTGGGTTTAAAAAGTTTTTGATGAACACATACAGTAAGAGTTGACAAGGACTCAAATATTTTTAATAAACATTATATTTAGCAACTTGGAGCAAAGGCAGCAAACATTATCCATATCAATTATTTTTTAGAGAATAATAAACAAAACTGGGCTATAACAAATCTAAGTCAACCATACAAATCATACTTCTTAAAGAAAACTTTATAAAAAATACCAAGGTGTTAAAAATAGTTTCTTAATCCAATAGAAAAAAATAGTTTAGATTTGGAATGATTCTTATTTAAAAATCTATTTAAGATTACAAAGGTAATTAACTGGTTCAAACAGATATTTCAGTGAGGAGAAAATAAAGTTGCACAGTTATTTGCATTTAGAATAGGATGACAATGACATTTAGTCAAAAATTTTCTCATACCAATTTCTCGATTGAGGATCTTTTCTTCACGGTTGCCTACTGGCTCAATTACTTTTAAAAAGGGTTGAAAGAGCCGAAGATCACAAAGTCGTCTTGTTTCATCAAAAAATTCTTCCCTTTCTGCTTCTTGGGTAACACTTACGAAAATGTAAGAAGATTCATCTTGAAGAAGTTGATGGAGAGGGTACTTTCTTGCTTCTTTAAATAGTTCATGCTTTATAGTTACTAATGTAGCCTCACGGAGGCATTCTAAAGTCACTATCATTCCATTTGGTAGTAAACATTCTACTAGGATTCTTGGGGGCATCAAGTGGATGCCCCACAGTTCACCTGATGATGGTCTTGGAGGCATTGTTCTGATCCTTTATAAGTTTTACATATAAAACTACTTTAAGGAATTAGATGTGTGGCTGTCCCAAAGCAGAAATCTAAACCAAAGAAGGAAAACATATGTTAAAAGAGAAACAACTATGGAAGAATAGATTTATGGCATTATTATGTGTAAAAACTCATTTTCCACAGTTTGAATTAATTAGGATAAGTAATAATAATTCATCTTAAATATTTTGATGGAGACTGTTGCTCCAAATTAGGCTGAATCGACTGCAAAGCAGAAATTAGAAAAAAATCACTTGTATTTCATTTTATTTAGTAAATTCATTTAATAAAAAACATTTTATATGAATGAGTTTTTAACAATCAGGTCTTATCAAGACAGAAATGAGACTATGGGAAGAATGAATTAAGTTGTAATTGAACCCAAAATTTCCATCACCTATCACCGCTACCATTCTCTTCTATTTTATTAAGCAGAATCTGGGCTAAAAAGGATCCTTTATCATGGGCCAACTGCTCTCATTCTAAAGATGAGTAAAGCAAAGGCTTAGAGAAGTAAAACCTTTTACTTTTTCTCCCAACCTCCACCCTGTGGTAATGAGAAATTATATAGCTTAATCTTTTCTTCTTTCTTAAGAATCTTTGGCATTTTTTAAAAAAATATATTTTGTTGATTTTTAACAGAGAGGAAGGGAGAGGGATAGAGAGTTAGAAACATCGATCAGCTGCCTCCTGCACGCCCCCTACTGGGAATGTGCCCGCAGCCAAGGTACATGCCCTTGACTGGAATCGAACCTGGGACCCTTGAGTCCGCAGGCCAACACTCTATCCACTGAGCCAAACTCGTTAGGGCTTTTCTTCTTTCTTAAATCAATCTTTGTAATTCCCTCTTATGTACTGATTATTTTCTAAGTGATATCTTGGACCATTATGTTTCTAAAGTATGTTAGGTATATACTCACTCTAAGTGCCATCAATGCATTTTCCTTGAGATGTGACCAATTGACAATGATCCATCCACTTTATCAAATAACCTAGTCCTAATACCTCTGATTGAAATGATCTACACATAAAGGAGATCCATTGACTCTCTTTGTCAGTACAATGTTCTAATCTTGTTAAGCACTTGTAATATTTATTTATTTGTTTGTTTGTTTGTTTGTTTATTTATTTATTTATTTATTTTTATTGATTTCAGAGAGGAAAGGAGAGGGAAAGAGAGATAGAAACATCAACCATGAGAGAGAATCATTGATTGGCTGCCTCCTCCACACCCCACACTGGGAATTGAGCCTGCAATCCAGGCATGTGCCCTTGACTGGAATCGAACCGCAGGCTGACACTATCCACAGAGCCAAACCAGCTAGGGCAAACACTTGTAATATTTTAAAAAATATTAATTATCATTATGATTTGAAGCCCTAATTTTTTAGATGTCAATAATCTTGAGGGGATCTTTTGGAAGATATTGTCAAAACCAGAAAGCACAAGTTTATTTCTTGCTGTTTGTGTTTATTTTTTAATTTTACTCAGTGAGCTAAACTGTGAAGGTATAAAAAAAGGCAAAGTGAGAGACATTAGGAAAATAAAAAAGAAATAAAAGCTGGAGAAATGAATCAAAGGTCCAGATAATGTACTATATTCGATTACTACAGGCACAGGGACAATAGCTATAAATGACCCTTGGTTTATTCACTAAATATGTATTGGTGCTGTCCCCAGAACCATGTTAGGTGCTGGGAATGTGACGATGAGCAAGACACATGACCCTTCCCCACACAAAGTCAAGAGTGGGAAGATTATGTGTATGTTGGGTGTGGGGTAATTAAATTCACAGATATGAAACAGAAAAACATGCTCTCATGGAGAATGCCAGATGCTATAAAAGCTCACAGTTGTCACTTGACTCAGTGGAAATTGGGGTAGGAAGGCTTTCACAGGAGGTAACAGATAAACTGAATTTTTTAAGGATTCGCAGGTATTAAGCAAACACAGTAAGAGGTGAGGAACATGTTGCCTCTAATCCAGAAATCTATCTCTGACTCCTCTATGTCATACCTATCAACATCTAAGCCATCAACAAATTCCGTTAATTCTATCTCCTGATCTGTCTACACTCCTTCCCTATCACTTTCAGTACCTTGGGTCAGGCCACTACTATTTCTTGTCTGGACCACTGCAAAGGCCTAAGTGGTCTCCATGCATCTAGGTTTGCTCCCGACAATGCATCTTTCACCTCAGTGTGGCTAGAGAGAGCAACAGGCCTACTTTGGGCAGCCATTTCTACTGTACCAGTTCTCAGTTACAAACAAGTGTTTATGGTATGCGTCAAAGTTTTAACATATGAAAGAGGTGAGGATTAGAAATAGAAGAAATTTCAAGCCTTACCCTGCCTCTGGAAATATAAAAATTGGAAGACAATCATTAATATACAATTATTTTTTAATATTTAACATATTTTTCTTCAAATTTAAGAGACCCACTAAAGTTATAGGATTTAAAATATAGTTCTCCTGTTTTTTACATTTTTCAAAGAAAATTCATTGACTAGTAAAAAACCAGATGGAGCTGTGTGTATAATTTTAGAAGTGACTTAGGCTAAGATTTTTAAAACATACAAGAAATTTAAAGAATGCAAGGGATAATGCCAAATGACTACTTTTAAATGATGACCTGCCTGCACAAAAAGTTCAAATAAAAACAAAACCAAACCACGAACGACACCAAAACAGCAGCTGTGTTTATAGTTTTCTTTGTTGAATGGCACTAACAGGTCTATGTTATGAAATCCTGGGGGCAATTATTTTATAGAATAAATAACAACCTCCAGAGTTTCATGTTACTTAAGAATTAGCAAAAGAGAAGTCTAGTATAGTAGACAGATCGTTGGTTCTAATCTTTATTATAATATAGTATATTTATGGGCAATTAACAACTATGAAATACTCAAAATACACTTTTCTCGTAAGAGAATAAATACGATCATAGCCATAAAACACTTGGAGATCCTGGAGGGCAGGCACTGGTTGATATTATGGTTATACTATACAGAAGAGAGAGGATGCTTATCTGTCTTCTCATGCCAAGCCTTATTCTGTACAAACCATTATCTCAGAGCTCACATGAACAGAAGTGTAGAAATATAATGCACTTAGGAAGGCAATAACCCTTTTTAAGATATGTATTGCTATTTTTACATATAGGGAAACCAAAGATCAGAGAAGTGAAGTTATTCACCACCAGATATGGATTTTTGAACTTATGTCTAGGCGATTTCAAAGTACATGCTGTTATTTGGGCTTCAGTTACGGCCAGGTAATACTCATTGGCGGTGAGTAAGAGAATGGGCTCTAAAGTTACACTGGATTCAAATTCTGGCTGCCTTAATTAGTTGTGTGGCCTTGAGAAAGTTTAATTCATCTCGCTGAACTTCATTCTGCCCCGCCCCCCCGATCTGTTAAATTGGGATGATGGTACCATATTTTTCCGTGTACAAGACGCTATTTTTTTCTAAAATTGTTAGACTGAAAATTGAGGAGCGTCTTATACACGGAAGTCAGCAGAGGAGGGAGCTGTGAAGGTGCGTAACTGCCCATACTTTGTCAAACAGGCTTCCTCCAATCGCAAGCCTTATTGTTATTGACGTCAGCTGATGCAGTAATTGGAGGTGGAGGTGGAGAGTGCGCAGATGCAACAGGGACAAGAGCGTTCTGAGCCCATAAAGATGTCAAAAAATAAAAGATAAATACCAGTAAGCGATTGTCTTACTCTACAAAATTCAAACTGAATGTAATCAGCTATTCAAAAGAGCATGGACACAGAGCTGCAGAGAGACAATATGGACCTCCTCCCACTGAGTGTATGATCAGACAGTGGAGAAAACAGGAAGAACAATTCCTTAAGCTGCTAATAAAGAAGAAGGCCTTGAGGAGAAAACCAGCAAAATGGGCAAACTTGGAGCAGAGGCTTAAGACTTGGGTTATGGAGCAGTGCCAGAGTGGCTTATATGTGTCAACCAAGCTTATTCAATGTCAGGCAAGAATGTTTGCAACGAAATGAACACTGTTGATTTTACAGGAAAGGCAAAATGGTGCTTCACTTTCATGAGAAGAGAAGGGTTTGGCCATGAGAACACGAACAAAGTTAGCTCAGAAAATGCCATCAGTTTATGAGAATGATCTCACATATATAGACAGTGACTCAGAAGACAGCAGTTATACAATAGAAGTTGAAAAACTTGATATGACTGGAACTAATAGTGATGAAGAAGAGAGTAGTGATGCAACAGAGGCTGAATAAAGTGATATGCTGCACAATATCACAGTACTGGTATGTAAGCATTACATGTGGTAATGACTAAATAAAAGTGTGTTCTGTTTTATGTTTAAAATATTGATTTCTTAATTTTGGGTTGGAAAAGTGGGGGGCGTCTTATACATGGGGGCATCTTATACATGGAAAATATGGTGTATACTTCAGATTGTTGTATTAGACATGGTGATATATATGAAAAACATGTAAGCAAAGATATCTGCCCAGTAAGCACCCCATAAATGTGTTAAATATTACTATTAACAAACCTGTAAAGCATTCCTATATTATCTTTTCAAGCTATTGTGAATTATCCAGGACTGATACCAGATAGGGATGGGGAAAAGGGGTCTGGGTTCTTTTACTGAGGGAGGCAAATAAATAAGGAGCGTCATAAAGCTGTGCCAACTTCAAAAGCTGAAACTTGAAGAGCACTGGCAATGCAAGGCTCACAGACAAGTTTGGAATAGTAGTGAGTGGCTCAGATGCTGGTACTTTGCAGCTGCTTCTAGTTCCCCGGACTCCTAATATTCCTATTTAAATGGTACAGCTATCTACAGCTTAGGTGTGAGGAATCCCTTGCTTTCCATCCCCGCCAACCCCATGTTTTTAGAGAAATATCTGCTTATGCTAGGCTCCTGGCTAAATATGCTATGAAAACAAAGGTAGATAAGATGCTTTCCCTTCGGTTGTTGAAGGACTCACAGTTTATTGGGGAAGACAAAACACAGAACAACTTTAACAACGGGAAATTGTTACAAGACAGAACATGAACTTGGAAAAAGTCACAAGAAATCTCCAATTGCCTGAGGAGGTTAGGGAAGGCATCAGAGGTAAAATTTAAGAAGAATATTGTAGCCCTGACCTGTTTGGCTCAGTGGATAGAGCGTCGGCCTGCGGACTGAAGCGTCCCAGGTTTGATTCCGGTCAAGGGCATGTGCCTTGGTTGCGGGCACATCCCCGGTGGGGGGTGTGCGGAAGGCGGCTGATAGGTGTTTCTCTCTCATCGATGATTCTACCTCTCTATCCCTCTCCCTTCCTCTCTGTAAAAAAATCAATAAAATATATTTTAAAAAAAGAAGAAGAATATTGTAGATTAGTAGAGAGTTTGCAGAGAAGGGGTGGCTGGAGCATGGGAGATCTAGAGGAGGGTGTTTTAGATTGCCACATGAGTATGTGTGCAAAGTCACAGATCATGAAAGAACGTAGCCTGTTACCAGCAATACAAGATGTTTTTTATTGCTTGATTCTGAGTGCATGGTAATAGGGAAGGTATGTGACAAGGAAGGTGGGGTGAGAGGTAGGCAGGGGACACAAGAGTCCACCTTAAGAAGTTTGAATATTACATAGTTCACCCTAAGTAAAAGCGAGTCCCTGAAAAGTATTCTGAACAAAAATATGACATGAAACATTCATGATTTTAAAATTCAGATTTCTTTAAAACTTTGCTTTTCAACTATAGAATATAATCAAATAAATTAAGCCAAGGTATAAAAATATCTTCTCAATTCTCTGAATTTGGAGCAAAATCCTTAAAGTTAATAAGTCAGAGCATATAATATTTTCAGTAAAAGGGCCTTTACATTATAGAAAATTAAATGTTAATAGAAAAAGTTGAATTATTCAAACTCGAGCGCATAATCTATTTACAAAGAAAAATAACTTATTTGAAAATTAAATTTAATATACAAATTTGCATTTTGGAGGTTTGAGGTCACAAAAATGTATCTGCTAAAAATAAAAACACTTTAAGAGTCAAGGAACACTCTATGGGGCTTTTGAGTTCAGAATGCCAGGGCTAAATGTTCATATGCTGACAAATCACAACTATTCAGAACTCTTAGGAAATAAATTTGTTTTGCCTATCCTAAATTTTTATACATCTATTGATAAGTTATTTCAGTGGGGCAATTCTATTTTCTTTTTTTATATTCCTACCTGAGGATATTTTTTCCATTGATTTTTTTAGAGAGAGTGGAAGGGAAGGGGGATGGGCGGGGGGGGGAGGAAGGAAAGAGGGGAAGAAAGAGAGAGAGAGAAAGAGAGAGAGAGAGAGAGAGAGAGATATTGGTTGCTTCCTGCACACATTCTGACTGGGGCGGGGATTGAAGCTGCAACCCTTTGGTCTGATGCTATAACCACTGGGAAAACTGGCCAGGACTAATCCTATTTTCTTAAAAGAGTATATATAAGTCACCATTTACCCTTTTCTTGAAGAGTCCTCATTATAAAACTAATTACTGTGCTATACTAAAAGACAATATAGCAAAGTTCTTCAGTATTATCAAAAGGTCTGAGGGTATTTTGGGCCCTAAAACCAACAAACCCAGGTTGGAGATGGTATTTTTTAAATTGCTCCTATCCTTTGTTTTATAGCAGCTAATGGCTGTCCCATGGTCGTCCTCAGCTGTGGCTAGCCGGCCTGATGATGTAGCCTTCTTTTCTATTATTCATTTCTAGACAGCATCAACACTTGACCACCATTTTGTAACAGTCTATAAACAAAAGGCCACAGACCACATGATGATATGAGAACCGCTCCAGCACGAGCTTAGGAGCACAAAATGTGTAATGGATACTTTGCTGATCAGATATTTTTGTTTACTTCCTTGTTCTGACATTAAAATTACTGTTTGG